ATTCCAAACAGTTCTGAAAATCCTAATTTATTTTTCATAAATTTTGGTGCATACTTATTTGGTGGAAATTCCAGAGCTAAACTGAAAGGAGTTTAGGCTTTATTTATCTCATTTTAATGTGGATATTTATGTGTTTTGCTGCAGAAATATTAACACAAAATGTTCCCCAGATCCCATGTAGTGTATTACCTAATAATAGTTTCATAAAATCTGAAAAATTCTGAATTCCAAGATGCATCTAGCCCCAGGGGTTTCAGATGAGTGATTGTAAACCTCTTCTCAAGAAGAGAGGGGAGTTGTGTGAATAACATAGAATAATGGAGAAGCATGAACAGTAGACTACAGCCCTTTCACTCACATTGGTGCCTTCCCTGATGGAAGATTACACATCTCCTCCCTGTTGAACTCATGCACACCCACGTGATTGATTTTCTTTGGCAAATAAAATGTGAGCAGAAGAGATGAGTCATTTCCAGGCAAAGCTTTAAGTGCCAACATGTAGCTCTCCATTTTCTCTCCCTTCTGCCATGAGCTCAGCAAAGTTCCAGATAAAGGCTGGAGTCCATCAGCGTGGATGCCCAGTGAAGCCTGGCATAGAGCTGTGGCTGATCTGCTCTGGAGATGTAGCATGAATGAGAAAGAAACCTTTGTTGTTCAAGCCTCTGCAGTATAACCTACTCTGTCTTCACTGACATATGCAAAATCAATGCCTTCTGGGATGGAACCATCCATTAATGTAACATCTGTGGGCCCCGACACAGTTAATGACCAACAGTCAGTGTCTTCTAAGGGTTCACAGTCCAGCTATAGAGATGAACAGTTAAGAAGGAGATACCAAGTCAGGCCTGGCCTGCTACACTGCCACACTTTCTTCCCCACCCCAGTGTTTGGTTCCATACCTAGGCCCAAGGCCTAATATCTCCTGATGTTACGTATCCAAATACGTGCTTGGATATTAATGCACATTTTTCTTACTTTGCTAGATTTAACAAATTACATAAGTAATTCATGTTTATTATAATAAACTATACAAAAGTGTATAAGGAAAAAGCTTATTCTGTCTTCCTCTTTCGTCTTCCAATGGTGTGTATCCTTCCATACATTTTTCTATGCTAGGCAAATATATATAGATACATAAGGTCACTTTTTGATATTTTCCTACCATGAACATTACTCTGCCAAGGACGTCTATTCAATTCAGTTATTAGCTCTAACTAGACAATTAATTCTTTTAATTATTAATAGCCTCTTTGATTGAATGCTGACTATGTCCACATCACTCTTGTAAACACTTTATTTAATCCCTTTGTCAACTCTGTGGAGTAGGTACTGTTATTATCAGCATTTTCCATTTGAGAAAACTGAGACCCAGATAAACTGAGTAATTTGTGAGAGTCACGCAGATTAGGAGGTGGTAGAGTAAGAAACCGAGGCAGTCTCACTCTATACTCCAAGCTCTTCACCTCTAAGTTATATTGCTTCTCTAATTGCATAATAGTCTGTGAATGAATGGACAACAATTTATTCAACCATTTCCCTATTGAGGGAGATTGAGGTGATTTACTTTTTTTCTCTTTTTATTTTGGTATCACCAATATTGAAATAGTAACACTGAAATATATACAGACACTCTTTTCTCTGTTGAAAAGAGTCCCATGTTAATTTCTTCCTAATTTGGAATAACCCTATCAACTCTGGCAGTCTCAGTCCAGGTTAGGCAAGGGGTCCTGGTTATAGTAATTCATATTCCAGTGACCAGTTAGGAGTTCTTGTTTCACCAGATCCTCTGAGCCTTCCACACATCTCTCTAGTATGGAGCAGAGTCGAGAGCCCTGTTTAAGTCAATGCAGCTTACATTTAGAAACAGGAGGAAGTGGACTGTAAGGGATTATCTTCTCCTAGATGTGTCAGATGCAATCACACCGCATGGATTTATGAAGCGGAGTGAAATATTTGTTTTGATTGCTCACTGATTAAGAATACACTCTAGTGCACAATCTTGACAGACATCTAGGGCAACTACCCTTACTTTAAGAATCTGGGTCAGGGTTGCCCAACTTCTTCTAATTCAGCAGTCTCATTTCATTAAAGGATTATGCAAAGAAACCTCAGTTGCGTCTGTACAATTGGCTGCTTCATCTTTGGTATTTAATATTGCAGAAGCCCCAGCAGTTACCAATGTCATTGTACACTGATTTGTAATGTCTTCTTCCTCATTGTTCAGTATAGAGTTTGGAAAAGCAGTTAGCTGGGAGTCTTATGAAAAACAGACATACCTAGGAAAAGGGGACATATAATTTAAAATAATTGACAAAGATATTCAGGATAAGGTGTTAAACAAAACCCTATATGTTGGAGATGCTTAAAAATGGGGTTTTCAAAAACCTGAAAATTATTTGGATCAAAATAATTAAAAATCTCAAGAGGTGTGTTTTAAAAATTTAATCTAGAAGCACTGCAGGGTATCTATTTGTCAGCAGATTGCTACGATGTGCTACCATATGAAAATTGGAGAGTGAAACAGATTTGGTTACTTCAAAGCAAATCATCCAGTGAAATTCAGAGAAGAAAGTCATAGCATAAATTGGGAAGTCTTGTGTTTGTGGCTGGGTAATGTCTTTCTGTGTGGGGTAGGGAGTAGGGTGGATAAGCACATGGTCTCCTTTAAATTGTTGGGTGTTTTTTTTTAGTACAACATAGGCTTTAGGGTAACCAATAGTCACTCTATACAGTGTATGTTTGAAAGAAATGCATTCAAGAGCTCACAAATTGATGATTGTATATCAACAAGTAAGAACTTCTGCTTTCAAAAGCAAAGCCTCTCATCGTCTCTGTCCTGAAATGTCAGTTTGTCTATTTCTCTCCTCAGCAGCCCTCTTCCTTTCTGTTTGCGTTTTTATTGATGGAGGGGAAGGGCACAGGAGCATTTACGGAGGAAGCCTCACTCTTAAGCATGGATGCAGGCTTCAATCTGTTCTTTCACTCTGTTCCTACAGGGGTGGGGCATGTGACAGATATTTTAACCAATGCTCATTATCTTACATTATCTTGAATACCACTGTTTTCGCCAGTGAGAGCCTGTTTCTACATCCATGATGGTGATTAAGATACTGCTAATTTCACCAATGGAGCTCTGTCTCTGAAATTCTTTGTGCTCATTAGCAAAAGCACAGGTGAGGACCAAGATACGAATCCCTGAAGGGCAAGTAGCAGTAGTGCCTCTGGTGTGTGGGCTTTTACCCCATGAATATGGATTTCTGATTAGGACAACTGACTGCCTCTTGTGTAAAGCCTAAGCCAACTCACACATTATTGTGTCCCATTGTCTATGCTGAAGATTTTAAAGTAAATTATGGCCACTTAACTGTGATGGACCTAAGCAAGGCTTAAACTCAGCTGCTCTCCATCTTATTTCTATCTTTCTATATTCATTCAGATTTTGCCTTTGGCCGCATACTTATTCCATTTCTAGCTCAGCTCCTGCCCTGGTTTCACTCACGATGATAGTTCTCTTTTTATACCTAAGTGTATGAAAAAGTATGGTTACTTTTTTGAGTGATCATTTAGGTTACTTTATTTACTATTGCATTGTGCTAAAGGCAGTGAGTTTTGGCCTGAAAGATGCAAAGCTCTGTCTGCCAAAAGAGAAAAAAAATGACGTTTCCCCTTGGTGTGGAATGCCTTCCACCTTAATGCTTTGGGGGCTCTGCTTCCTTCCACCTGTAAAGTGAAGGATTTGGGCTGGAATAGCTTTACCTTCCCTGTGAGCTCTGATAGTCTGAGATGGTCTTCCTTAAGCTAAACCTACAACAGCCTGTGAAGCAAAGCCATGGAACAGGGCTTGCATTTTAAAGGGCCTGCTGAATTGGTATGGGTGTTTTCCCTTCTGACGGTGAATCAGAGAACTCCAGACATCATTATTTGATAATCCAGCCAGCTCTGTTCCTGTAATGACTAATGGATGTGTATGCTGTGGTGCCAAGACTCTGCTATAGGTGAGGCATCCTTTAGACCAGGAAGTACATCAAAGGGAGAATCCATGGGATTCAACTGCCTGCCTTCAGTTTTTATGCAGTCATTGATCAAAAAAACATGAAGAGTGTAGCACATCTTCCCATCTTTGCTTTTAAATTGAGTTCTGCTCTCTCAGCGGGTTGCATGATTTGTTCAAGGCAGCAGAGACTCTGCCTCTGAATATCGAGGGTTGTTTTAAAAGGAATAATTGGCTGGTGTAGACGTCTATATTTAATCTCAATTTAAATATTATTTTATAATAGGCTTTTGTTTCAATGTCCACTTATTCTTTACTGGTAGAGTTATTCCTCATTACACAGAAATTCAATATAGTGAAACATGAAAGAAGAATTTATAGGTACAGTATTTATTCAATATGTGGTACCTGTTGACTGAATTCAAGGAATGTGCAGACCTCTTGACTGACATTCTAGTAAAAGGACTCCTTCATTTGTTCATTTGTTCCTATATTCTGCTTGTTGTTTTTCTCTCTGTTCTCTCTTCTTCAGTTTCCATGATTTTGCTCCTTTTCAAAAGGGAGCAGCTTAGACATGTGCTTGGGTACTCTCTGAACCGACTATCCCCTAGAAAACATGGGAAAAGAAGATTGGCAGAAAATGGCTGCTTTTTTATCCCAATTTTATTTTTCTGGATAGTTTAGTTCAACCCTTTGCTTTTCCTATAAATCAGCAAGCCATCAGGTCAAGCAAAGAAAAGCCATCAGGTCAAGAACACTTACAGTCACATTTTGATTATTCTTAATTTATCAGAAAGTAAAAATTTAAAGATATACTATTATATTTTTTCTATAGCCTTAAAGTGTAGTTTTTATTATATTTTAAGCCAAACTTACCTCTCCCCACCTCCCTCCCTCATCCTTAGGAATAATATGCCTTTCTTTGCCTCTTCTTGCTGATTCTAAAGAAATCTCACGACACCATGATTCTCACTTCAATTCATGTTGGTCAATCTGTTTCCTCTTTCAGGTCCGCTCTTCAGCTTTTTCCACTTTGTTCTGTGCCTTGGCAGTTGGACAACTTCGTCAGGCTCCCTTACCCCCTGGTTCGAGGTTGGTTTTCCCAATGGGGTGTTGGCAGGCTGTTAGAGGGAGGGAGGAGACTGAGGCCTGTGTATTTATTGCCCCTCCCCTCTCTTTGAGTGTCCAATCCATTGACTGCATTTCTGGACTATCTTACAGATTCTGTAAAATGTCCCTCTCTTCACAGCCTCTTTGTTGCCAAATTCCAGCAGCCACCTTGCCCCTCAGGCAAATGGGTATTAGCAAGGACCACTGATACTAACTCTGCATTATCCCTTGATGTTCCCTACCCCCTGCACCCTGTTGTAGACAGGCCCTTTATTAAACTTTCCTCAAGTTATTAAATTGGAATGTGCCATCTGTTTTTTGCTGGGGCCCTGACCGATAGAATAATTCAATGAATGCTTATTTTACTGGGAGGTAGTATGGTATAATGGTTGTCTTACATTTGGCATCAGACTAATCTAGGTTTGAATACATCCCCATCACTTGCTGTTTGGCCAATGCCCAGTTAGGTAAGCATGCAGGATAGGTTGCAGAGGAACTGAAGAAAAGACCTGGAGATGGCAAACAAGACATACAGGTTTATTGGGATTTACTTACAGGGAATGTCCAGTGGCGGCTGGCTGGATGGAAGTGTGCACCTGCTACCAAAACTGTGAGAGACACATGCTTAAGTAGGCAGAGGAACAAAGGCTGCATGCTTGCCAAGGGGCAGGGACCTTGTATGACCTGCATTCCAAGGACCAGAGCTCCCCCTGGAGGGCCTCCATGTTCCCTCAGACTCCAACGGTCTTTGTGCTAACTGTCCCATGAGAAACAGCTGGGTTGGCCAAACCCAGAACTATTATCAACACTCATCATGAGTGTTGGTGTGTAGCCCACACAAGGGGCTTCAAGGATGCATGGCAGCTGTTAAAAGGCATACAGGCTAGTTCCTTTACACTTACTAACTCAGAATGGAGATTATTTAACCACTCTGAGCCTCAGTTTTCTCAAATTTAAAGTGGGGATGATATTACCTACTTCACAGAATTGTTACAAAATATGTGTGAGTACTCAAAATGTTAATTATTATATTAGTTTAAATATAAATTAAAATGTATATAATGTTTTAATTTCCCCTCAATTTACACTGAATAATTTCCTCACTGGTAAGGCTTGAGCAACTACAAAGCAGTCATTTTTAGTTCCTCTACACTTTGTGCTGTGATCTTTGTGTTTCAAGTTATGGGAATACCCTCTTCCCTTGCGCCCCACAAGTTCCTGCTTGTCTAAATGACACTTTGTCTCCCACAGATGGTCCTGGATGCTCTGGTCATCTTACCGCAAGTCTGTGGAACTTTCAGATGACTCTTCTTCAAATGGTGAGTGTTAGACATAAGGGGTCCCTGGTGAAGTGAAAATCTTTGCTGGTGTCTTAACTCTGCGCATTGGCTGCCGACTGCTCAGGTACTCTGAATCGTTGGGTAATCCACTGCTTTACAGGATAGCTATTTTTTGTTTCTATCTTCTTTAAACTATATCTCTAAATTGTTATGAGAGCACTGGCTAAGCCCAGAGAGGTGTTTCAAGGATTAGCTAATTGATTATTTTAAATGCTTTGAAACTGGCAGATAGTTTAGTAAGAAGAACAGGCTAAATAATTTTTGCAGGCTCAATGGGAGTACAAAGTGTACCAAATGACTCTTCTAATTTGCTTTGGTATCTGGTAGGACTTGCTTATTGTATAACGTGTCCCATCAAAATGAATTATATATGTTATTGCATTTAAAACATGACCTGGGAAATGCTTTAAGATAAAAAGAGATGTTTGGAAAATACACAAAGCTTTTGTCAAATGGAGTTTCAGATACTGAAACCACTGGGATTTTTTTGATTCCAGAGAAGCCCTGTGACACGTGACTCAGTAACATTTGTTTTTTGAGGGAAATCAGGAAAGATTCAGAAAGGAGGAGGGTCTTGAGTTGGTCTTTAATGACAAGTGAAATTTGCCAAATGAAAAGAGGTGAAGGACTTTCCAGACAGAGGGGAACAGCACATGAAAAGTTTCTCTCTCCTTGTTTCACTGAAACATCTGTTAAGAGTTTCTACTTCCTCTTTTTCTAGCTCTATCTTATTCTTTGCACATAGTAGATATTCAATTAACAGTTGTAAGAGGATAGTAGTGGGTGGTGAGATTATCGGCAGTGATTTCAATTTTGTTCATTAGATTTTTCTTTATTTTCTGTAATAAATGTGTCTTTCTTTTGTGATTAGAATATTCTAAAATATTCAGGGAATGGTTGTCTGAGTCTGTGGCTGCATTGGAGTTGAAGATTATTGTAGTCAAAGAGGTCGGTGAACTTTGGGCTTCAGGACAGTTGTTCACCTGGTCAGGCAAAGGCTCGAGACTGTGGCAGGTATCACTGGAAAGGAAGCTGGAATGGTAGGTTGTGATCAGAAATTTGGACTTTACGTTGCAGACAGTGGGAAACCGTTGAAATGATTAGGCAGGGGAGTGCTGTGCAGAGTCCTCTGGCAACACTGTAGAGGTGAACTGGCTGTGGAAGAGATTGGAAAGAAAAGGACCAATTGTGACACTTTTATAATCCAAGTGGAAAGTATTGAAGGTTTTCGTGTTTGGGTAGGGTTGGGGAGAAGATAATGAATGTGGTATTAGACAGGACAGATTTGAAGTGTCTGTGAGCTAGTCTACAGGAAGGCCAGTAAATATTTGGAACTCCCCAAGGTTGAGGAGTCACCATAAAACATTGCTGCCACCAGAGACCTTAGAGACTTGGAGGAGAGGATGCTGTCTGGAAACCCAGGGGGCCAGTGAGGAACAGGCACAGCGTGGTCAGAAAGGCAAGAGGAAAACAGAAGAAAATGGTGCTGTAAAAACCATCAGAGAAAAGGAGGGAGAGGTGGTTCAGAAATGAGTGATTATCTAGTCAGGGAGTAGATTATTTTCCTTTCTCCAGACATATCTCTTCCCCCCTGCCTTCAGGTTTCTACTCAAAAGACATCTTTTTGAAAATGCCTTCCCAGCCCACCTACTAAAAACAGTACCCTTTATCACTCCATTCACCTTCCCTGAGCACTGTTTCAAAGATTTTATCTTTTTCCTTTTTCTCCTCAAAATCCCCCAGTACATAGTTGTATATTCTTAGTTTTGGGTCCCTCTAGTTGTGGCATGTGGGATGCTGCCTCAGCATGGCTTGATGGGCAGTGAGACGTCCACGCCCAGGATCTGAACCGGCGAAACCCTGGGCCGCCAAAGCAGAGCACGTGAACTCAACCACTCGGCCACAGGGCCGGCCTCCCCGAGCACTGTTTTAAAACATAGGTTTTACTATTGTTCGGGTATAGTGAGGCTACCAGATCAGGAGATCATTGCCATTGAAAAGATAGTTTGTTACTCACAGTTCCCAAGAGGAAGGGACATGCCATGCCATGCAGGGCCGCACGGGGAAGCACCAGGGTCAGTGAGAAGGCAGAGGGAGAGGTGAGAAATGTGGTCAAGAGGCTTTATTGTGCTTTCCATGGGAAGGAATAGGCGAGGCAGGATAAGCAGGTTTAGGAGTGGCTAGTTTGAGCGCCAATGGTGGGCTTTTGGGCTTAGGAGCTGTCCCTAGCTGTCTGATCCCTGGCCCTGGGGTGATTAGGGCAGAAGACTGTAACCTGAGCGAGGTGGTTGGAGTAAGGGTTTCAGACTGGCTGGTTTGCGTATGAAAGACGTGCTGGAAGGCGAGGTGTTTACTGTCTCTAGGAGTTGGCTATCCCTGGGAGGAGTAGTCTTCTCAGGGTCAGTAGGACCCCAGAGGTGAAAACATCAGAATAAAAAGATGTGCTTAATATAAGAACCACCTAAACACTGCATGTTTATTTGTTTGTGGAGCACTTCCAGAGCTGGGGCTAGGGTGAGGTGAGCGAGGCATTCTCCTTGGGTACACAATGAAAGGGGGAATACCAAAAAACTCAGTAATCAAGGTAAATAATATATTAATATTTTAAAAAATCAAAATGAATACAAAAATATACATGATGAACAAATATCAAAATTTTAAGTAGAGACAAGATCAATAACAGTGCTGTGCTGATCCATATCGGAGCCGGAAACAAGAGGAAAAATCACTAATACAGATCTGATCTCTCTCTTTCTTTTTTGAGGAAGATTAACCCTGAGCTAACATCTGCTAACCAATCCTCCTCTTTTTGCTGAGGAAGACTGGCCCTGAGCTAACATCTGTGCCCATCTTCCTCTACTTTATATGTGGGACGCCTACCACAGCATGGAGTGCCAAGCAGTGCCATGTCCGCACCTGGGATCCGAACAGGCGAACCCTGGGCCGCCGAAGCGGAACATGCAAACTTAACTGCTGCACCACTAGGCCAGCCCCCCCATCTGTTTGATTTTTAAAACTGTTGCATTACAATTATTCAGCCTTAAAAAGAAAGGAAATTCTGACACATGCTACAATGTGCGTGAATCTTGATGCTAAGTGAAATAAGCCAGGCACAAAAAGACAAACGCTGTGTGATGCCACTTACATGAAATAGTTAGTCAAAATCATAGAGACAGAAAGTAGAACAGTGGTTTCCAGGGGCTGGGGGCAAGGGGAATGGGAAATTATCATTTAATGCGTGTAGAGTTGGAGTTTGGGAAGCTGGAAAGAGTCCTAGAGATGATGGTGGTGGCTGTCCAACGTTATGACTGTATTTAATAGCACTGAACTGCACACTTAAAAATGCTTAAGATGGTAGATTTTATGTTATGTATATTTTACCACAGTAAAAAAAAAAAAGGAAGAAAACCCACTATTGCATTAAAATGTTGCTTATCTTGATTACTGAGTTTTTTGGCATCCCTTTACATTTTTCACTTGCCTCAGCCTGATCCTGGCCCTGGGGAGCACTGTGGGAGGAGCTGGGTGGAGGGAGGAAGGTGGGGAGGGGAATCAGGAGCTGAGGTTTGGCTGTCCTCCTTCAAAGGCAATGTGCCTTTTCCACTTATTATTGGTTTCGAGCCATTTAGTTTAAATAAGAAGAGGAACTATATTGGTTAAGAAACGCAGGGCAGGCCCCGTGGCCGAATGGTTAAGTTCACGTGCTCCGCTTCAGTGGCCCAGGATTTCACTGGTTCGGATCCTGGGCGTGGACATGGCACCGCTCATCAGGCCATGCTGAGGTGGCATCCCATATAGCATCAACCAGAGGCACTCACAACTAGGATATGCAACAGTGTACTGGGGGCCTTGGAGGAGGAGGAGGGGAAGGGGCAGGAGGAGATGGAGATTGGCAAGAGATGTTAGCTCAGGTGCCAATCTTTAAAAAAAAATTCTAGAAGTCACCACTGCTGGGGTTGATTTAGTGACAGTGTAGTTGGATCTAATGTCTCTCTGGTTGTTTATTGGTTTTAGGGGAAGGAGCAGGACCATATACATCCTTTACGTCATGGAAGCTCAAACTTTTTCAGAAGCACACCTCCCAATAACTTCTTAAGTGTCATTGCTCATTCCCGCGTCAAATGGTACCCTGTCCACCAGCCGCAAAGGAGGCTGAGAAAGCAAGGGACAGAGTTGTCTAGACTGACTAGGACCAATCCTGATCCGTTGCCTGTGTCTGGGCATAGGACCTTTGGAGATTGAAGTTCTGTTAGCAGGGAAGCAAGAAGAAAAATGGACATTGTGAAAGTAATTAACCCATGTCTGCCACAGGGTCCTTGACTACTGACACCTTTCACAGAAACTAGGATTTTGGTACCTTGGCATATTTACATATTTTTTCCTCTTGCAAGTCTAGTAAGCATTTTCTTCATTGCACTGTGTGGCATCTAGGCCATTGTTTTTATGGGCTTAAAACCCTGAGCTATTAAACGGTAAGCCTGTGGTACTGCTGGGGGATCCATCCCTCTAGCCTTTAGGAATGATTAACACAGAAAGCATTAAAAATATGGCTCATGTTCTATTCAAATGACTTAGAATTGCTTGGTGTTTATCCTTTATTCCTGCCGGGCCTTCTGTCCAGTGTCCTCACCTCATCACTGCAGACAGATGACTTTCCTGGGGTGATGGGCCAGGGAAATGGATCATTGCATTTTTCTCTTTAACTCACACTGGATAAGCAATCTGCTATTTATTGATTTAGAAAACTTCCTGTCTTGGAGTTTTAAGATCCAGCCAAATGGGGTGGAGATATCTGAGGTCTTACAAGATTTCATTAAAAATGATTATACAAATTCCGTAGTCTAGATGTCCCAAGTTCAAATCCACATCTAGCATTCCCCAAATATTTTAATATGGAAGAAGTAGGTTCACTAATACTGGAAAGTATAAAGAAATGGAGAAAACATCCGAAGAATTCACATGTAAGTTGAGATGTGTGT